TTTTGCACGAAAAACCATACATATGCGAGTTTATTACATATATATCGCATATAAAGTGCTTATCACAAGTAGACGCCAGCCCCATATTGACAAATTCTGACTATTAGACTAAGACTTTTTTATTATTTGATTTTAATTATTCTTTCTATAAAAATATAGCTTATTTTTTAACAAAAATCGTATAAATCAAAGTTTCCAACATTGGGCAAAATTTAAAAATAGTAAAAAACTTTCGAAAAGTTTCGAGCTTCTTAATTCGATTTTTTATTTATTGTTGATTTAAGATATGGACTCATTTTCTCCAGATAAAAAAAAAAATCGTCGCATAAAAACCTCGAAATTTTATAAAACCTGTGGAATATTTTTAAATATTGCACAAAATTTGAAACTTGGATATATATACGATTTTTCTTAAAGAATAAACTACGTTTTCAATAAAAAATAACTAAAATTAAATATGTTGGTGGTGTAAAATTGTGATAAGCACTATATCCATATGTATGTAACAGGGATGTTGCGAATATTTNCGAACGTGTACATGGACAGAGATTCCACTCTAATGTTGTTGAAATGCCTCTAAGTCTGTCTAACCAGGGTGCGGCAGTAAACGGCTTTTAGCTTCAGGCATTAAACGGTTAAGTATTATATCACGCAACATTGATGGCCCTTCAACAAGTACTGCTAAAAGTCTTACAAGTAACCTAGAAATAATTTTAGATTCCTCCAGTGAAAGCGAAAGCTCGGATGTAGAACCTGGAGACATTAAAATATGTGAAATTAAAGCTCAATTGACGGCTTATCTTAAAGAAAAATTAGCTTATCTCGGTGAAAATCCTCCCGATTGGTGGAAAACTAAAATACGAAAGATTGACAGATCTGGCCGGCAAATGCTTATCAGAGCGCTCCACCTGCCAGCGTTCCAAGTGAGCAATTGTTCAGTGCAGCAAAATTACTTTTTTTGAAATATAATATGCCCCTTTTCAACTTTGACTGCTTTGTATAGGTAAGCACTCGTTCAATGTTCTAATAATTTACAAAATTTTTATGTAATAAAAACGATGACTTTAGTTGATTATACCTTTTTTTAATGTTATTCCTAGCATTCGAATTCGCACATTCGCATTCCAAAAATTCGTATTCGCTTTCGCATTCGCGAATGTGAAAAATATGACAATCGAAACATCCCTAGTATGTAAGTATGTGGCTTTAAAAATTAAACACCAAATGAGTTTATATCGTTTTGAAATTTTCAACTAACTTTCATTTTCAATCTTATCTTTTTGTTTTTAATTACTAAAGTTCGACTATTTTTTCGGAAACTTTTCTGTTAATGATACTTTTTTATTTTTAAACTCGTTTTTTTTACCTACCATATGGCTTGTAAGTCTCAGAGCTACATATTAGTTATGCTGAGATTAATAAAAAAATCGACACTGGCGAAACAGGCGAAACAGGCCCACAATCAGCGAGAATATATGCATGCGTATTTTTTTTTTATGTACTGTATCTTACGATATTTGAATTACTTAGTTTATGTCTATTATTTTTTGGTATTTTTTTCTCCTTGGCGCCTACATTTACCACACTTGGAACATAATTAATTGTCTTATATGTACCTACATACATATTTCCTTTTGCTTGTTTATATACATACATATGTATGTATGTATATCATTGACATGTACTTGTTTATGTATTATATAAGATTCTGTATATAATTCGAACTGTAAAAAAGGAAACATTTACAAAAAACATTAATATTGTAAATCGATAGTTGTGAGCTGAGTTTCTTTTTCTTTAGCTTTGATTATTACATATACCGCTTTTTATTTAACTTTTTGTTGTTGGCATAGTCTTTTGGGTGTATTTGTTTTTTGTTTTAAATTCTATTATATTTTTATAGCTTGAATTTTATTATTAAAGTAATATTTATGTACGCAATTCTGCTAATATTACACCGAATTTCTAAAAGTAAGATTTCCAGGCATCGGCGAGTTTTATTGCCAAACTACAGTAGATGAAAGTGACCAACTTGCGCAACTTACTTGGAAAGTAGCAACACGCCGTGACTGCACATATTCAGCATTGCCATCTGCTGTGACGAGGAAATAAAATAGACTGATACCTTGCATTTTGCGGTTAGGGATTCAGGGTTATGTGCACTAGATTAGCACTTTTATATAATTGTTAATTGTTTACTTGTTTGCACATTTTTAATTATTCGTTTTTGCACATTACAAAAAAATTTACAATCAAAATACATACAACTACAATTAGATACTTTCAAATGTGTTTTTTTTTTCTTAATTTGTTAGATCTCTAGCGCTTATAAGCGTAGCTTATAGGCAATGTAACGCTTTTGTATTTTTTTAGTTTATCATTCTCTTGTGCTTTGCGTCTTATTACAAAAATTACTCTTAAAAACATAATTAAATTTAATTTATATGTACGTATGTATATTAGTAATATTTGTGTGTCGTTTGCTGCATACGCTCGTGCGTTTTTATGTGTATGCTTAATTATTATTATGTATTTGTATGTATTAATTACTATATGTATATGTAATATTGTAGTCTGGCATCCAAATGTCGAAAACATCCAAACGCACAATGGTTGTCCATATGCAACTTTCTGCGTATTTTTGTATGTGTGCACCATTTTAATTAATGTATTTGTTTTCAGTTTCTTAGATGCGCGTTGATGCATTTGATTATCTATTCTACTTTTCTCTATTCTATCAGCTTTCAACCGTAGTCGAGGAAACGCTGTGACTAGTGGTTAGTAAGTGTTCGGGAATGGGTATTGGCTGGGTGCGCAGCGGTTGCTTCTTCTGTAATGAAAAAGGCAAAATAATTCGATAAGGAGGTTGAATTGATAGCGCTTTAAAAATTTAAAATTGGCTTGTTATATCTACAAACCTTTCTTCTAAAAGGAAAACAGCCAGCCTTTTCCGGCACCGGCGCCGCATTGATCAACAAATCTGGCGTTGGACTGTCATCGACGCCGAATACGTTCAGTTCGCGAAAGCATTCTGTTTCCATCATTTCGTTTTGCCATGAAATCGACACGGAGCCAGTATTGAATTTACTATAAAAATTCGTATCGGAATCGTCAATATTAACACCCTTGACGGTAGAGAATTGTTCAATGTCGAGTACATCCTTGGCGTAGACGGCGTGAGGCTAAAGGATAAACAGTGGAAAATACGA